ACACACACACACACACACACACACACACACACACACACACCGTATGTATTACTGTCGTCACATCTGGAGTTATCCTATTTGGCAAAATAAGTTTGGCAACCTCTCAGTATGATACATTGTGGTTTTACACCATGGAAAAAAAAACACAACAATGACAGCTTGACACATCACAGATGAAGCTCTTCGACCGATCGGTACATTCAGGGTATGAATTTGAGGGAATGAGTGAGGGAAAACTATTGTGTAAGACACCCGACTGTTGCAAATAGTGTTTGACTTCCAATAAACAAACAGCAGTTCCGAGCAGGCCATGACTGAAGCGTGAAAGGAATGATTAGTTAGGGGAAATGGCTTGGTCACAGTGCAAGTGTAGAGCGAGTGTATTTTCAGCAGCATGTGGAAAAGCAGGCGTCCAGTTCATATCATAAGCTCTTTATATCGCAGCCATAAAGTGATTATGGCTCCGCTAAAGCATTGTTCTGCTGTTGACAAGATTAACTGTGACTTAAGCGAGACACGATTGTGGTTCCACGCCGCGCAAGCGTTTGCTTGCTTTTTTGAAGCAAATTCTTTGTTGAAGCTTTTTTTTGAGTTGTCAACTCTCTGATTGCTCTTTGTCCAACGTTTCCAAAATGTGCGTTTTCTTGCACATTGAGGAACCCTGATCTACTGATCGGAATTATTCCTGTTCGTGTTTCAGTCTGACACTCTATTCGTATAATTGCTGCATAACTGTTTTCTATCACCTCATTGCAAATGGTTATGTTGGAACACATTTTTTGTGACAAATGTGCAATGTCATGCTATCAAATAAAATTGACAACAAGATAATGACAACACTGCTCAGTGGAACACAGGTCTCTGTCAAGTTTAAACCATCCGAACCATGTCTATCTGCGTGAATTGTTGATTGTTGAACATGTGTGACCTACCGCAAGGCGTTGTTATTGTATCCGAATTAAGAAGGTGCTCTCTGTCTTTTTGCAGAAGAAAACGGGGCTTCTGAAAACACAGGAGAAGGAGCGGTGGAAGGAAAAAAGGGTCGTGAAACGGCCAAAAACGGAAGCCGAGGAGGTGGAAGAGGAAGAGGAGAATGTTCAGCCTATTGTCGATCCACTGGAGAATGGATTCTTTCATCATGCACAGCGAGAGCAAGAGAGGATGAACGAGAGGCTGCTCAAAAAAACATACTCCAAGAAGAACAAAATGGTCAGTGTCGTCTTCTTGGCCTCTTTAAATGGGCAGTTGCATTGGCTTGGCAATTCTACAGTACATTAGTTGCAACGGAGAATGTATTTTTCATGTGAAATGAGAACCAGCCACCCTCTGGCTTCCAATTGAGTTCATGTTACCAGGAAGTCTCGTCAGCTAATGCCCCTATCCCACAATTCCTTTTGGGGCCAGCCTTTCCATAATTTAGAGCGACTTTTAATTGAGGGTCACTGATTGTCAGAATAATATGCTGCAGGCTTTGTTTTATTCTATCAAGTAAGCATACATTTTCTTGGCAAGTCTTGTCACCAGTGAGTGTTGTTCTTGTGCTTCACTACTTTTCTGTAAAATCGGAGGCGCTCGTACTGTGACATCGCTGATATATGAGGCAGTCACCTTCCTTAGCCCCAACATCAGACGGACCAGGCCGGAGATAAATGTTTTCATATTTCTAGTTTGGATGGGTTTGGCTTTCCGGTTGGCAGACTTAAATATGCGTTGATTTTGCGAGTGGACTTATTAGGCTGATCTGAACGCACACCCGGGTGCACATTTTTAGTCACCCAAAGTTAACCCAAAGTTAACTCAAAGTTAACTGAGTAACTCACATGACTCAGATTGCTTGGTATATGAGCAATGCAGTGCTTCCCATATGTAATTAGTTATGGACTCTTTATAATGAGACACCACTTTCTTAATGTAATCCATATTATTTCACAGGCCCTCCAACTGGAGCGAACATGTCGCTCCCCTTATTTCTGACAAAATTAAAGTCAGAATGATAAACATGGTGCTGTTGTCCTCTACTCTGTATTTGTCACTGGCTGATGTAGTTATATTTATCATATATGGGTGTTGAAATCTGACCAGACATGATAGTACAATTGCCACAGAATAATCTAAGGTGCATCTTGTACTTTTCAATGTATATTCTACCCCATGGCAATATCAAGGAGTTTGAGGATGTGGACCTTTTAAGACCACACTGTTGGGTTTGTCAGATCATATTAGTTTTACAAATGCATCTTGTTGACAGATACATTTAACAGATAAAACAAGGTGTTTGATAATCTACTTATTTCATCTCCTTTTTTTCCCTAAAAATAAGTATTCATAAGAGAATTGATAAAGAATTCTGTCTTTCATCAAAATTGAAAATTGGAAACATAAGAATCATATCAATTCCTATCCAGAGTCACAGGTGAATCTCATCTAGGCGAGGGAAAATGTTTATAGATGTTCAAGTATGTCAGAGAGAGGCTTGGAGCCCTGCTTTGTCTGGTCCTGCACCGAGGACATGTTACCCCTGCGTGACCCTGCCAGGGGCATAAAACCCCAGACAACTTAGCTCCTTCTTCATCTATTAACATGTACGAAATGTGGCACATGCTTCTGACTGCATTTCTGTCTTTTTCTTCTGCCAGTATTATTTACTAATAAAGTATTGCAATTTTTTTTTTAATCAATTCAGCATATGCATGGCAATCCATCAAAGAATGGATTGTTCCTCCCACCACTACTGACTGCTGAAGTGTGTTTGTTTATGCAGAAAGGGCCCGCCACTGTTCCTGTGAGATAGTCTGTCAATGTGTTAACAACTTGTGTAAATGGACGGATATTTTCAAGTTCCTGTCTGAGAGGCCATTATCCACCATGGTGCAATTGAAGAGGTGGGGAAATCTAGCAGAAAAAGCCAACAAAATAATGAGTGTTATGTAGCTTCTGGGCCTCTTTCTCAGATAAAAATATCTCATACATTTCCTGGGGAAGTTAACATGACCGCAAATTAGTTTGGCTGTGATATTTAATTTGTAGTAAACAATTATATATCTAGCTGATAGAACTGTAGATCTCTGGAAGTTGAAATAGTCCGCAATGACTAAATCACATCTACAGCTGTTGCCAAAAATGTATTTAACATGTATGTAGGATATGTATTTAAGGAATACAAAACAAGTGTTTTTTAATTTGCTTTAAAAAATGCAGCTCTTATTCTTCTCGCAGCTACATCGTTTTGTGTCATGGAGTCACAGGAATGGTTTCCGAAGCAGTGCAAAAGCTACGGGTGAAATGTCACATTGATCTTCCTTGACTGACATGGGAACCTTATGCATTGCCTTAATACACATTTAGTTCGATTTCAGCTCCGGCCTTCCTGTGTGGAGTTTGCATGTTGTCCCCGTGCCTGCGTGGGTTTTCTCCGGGTACTCCGGTTTCCTCCCACGTTCCAAAAACATGCATGGCAGGTTAATGGAACACTCTAAATTGTCCCTAGGTGTGCTTGTGAGTGTGAATGGTTTTTCGTCAATGGATGCCCTGCAATTGGCTGGCAACCAGTTTAGAGTGTACCCCGTCTACTGCCCAAAGACAGCTGGGATAGGCTCCAGTACGCCCACCTTGTGAGGATAAGCGGATTCGAAAACGGTTGGATGTTGCTGATGATTTTTGCTTTCATAATAGTACCATTTGTTTTTCTGACTATAAAGCTCACTTTTTTCATAGTTTGGCTGGTCTTGCCACTTGTAAATATTAATGTTAGAGCTTGGACTCACACCCAAAATCAAACAAGTCAATCAAATTGAGCACTGTCATGTAATGTGGTAAAAGGCATTATTGAGGAATGATACATTTTGAATCGAAGTCTTTTAATAGTTTTATGATGTAAGAAAAGTTTGATTTGGACCTTCCTCTGTTTCGAATAAAAAATAGATAGAGTGGGAATGTTTTATCTTTGCTGTAAAAAGATGCTTGCAGCATACTCAGCATCATGCCATTGACCTTCAGCACGTTTCATTGGAGCTATGAATAACACATAACACTGACCCGTATAAGCGACACACACACACGCACACACACTGACAGCACTGTTGTCCAGTAGTGATATATTAGTGCGATATTAGTGCTACACACACACACACACACTACACCCCCCCCCCACCCCTCCTGAACAATGTCACATATGAAAACCCTCCAGACACTGTACTCTATTATTCCAACTCTCCCTTGGGTAAACGTCTCACTACAAGTTCAGCCTGTGGACAAGAAAGGGTGGCCTGAGTCATTGGCAGTTAGGGAGGGTGCGCAGGATAACTGATACTCTGAGGCATGCTGTTATTTGGTGTGGCCCCTGAGTGGTTGCAGCTCAGCCCAGGATACTCAGACCATTTTTCTACCCACCCCACATTGACGTACCCGCAGTTCATTTCACCTGTAGATCAAGTGAAATTGCACGATGAGTCATCTTCACTGAAGTCCTGATAACTGTATTTCACACTGAAAGCACACTGTATAGAAATAGCTGTCAAATGATGGGTACACTGTAGATAACATAAGTAATAAGTGGACTGTATAATAAAACAGCAGTGAAGATGTTCAGTGGTTATGGATGTTCTCAGGAATGTGCTTATTCACCAAGTATGCATTTGTACTGATCATTCAATATACTTTTACAAAGATAATATTCCAGGTTTTCATGTATATTTTCGGAGCAGTAATTAATGTAACAATGTTTATTGAATAGTGTAGATGTACTGCATGCACAAAAAAAAAAAAAAAAAAAATCATCCCTCCACATTTCTCATCTTGTCTAGCTAGAATTCATGCCCAACAAATCAAATGTGCAGTAAGTGTACCGGTATATGCTTTTTAGAAAATGGCTCAGAAAAAAAGTGGATTGATCAGCAGCACACCACGTTACTGCCAACAACAAGAATGGGAGACGTAATACCTTTGTAGAGCCGAGTTATCAAGTTGTCCAAATGTTTTGTTTGCTGCCTGTAAACATTCGATTTATTGATTCCCTGAAATCCCTCTCTTTTGGAATACATGTTGCTGATGAGGCAACACGGTGGACAACTGGTTAGCACATCCGCCTCACAGTGCAGAGGTGAAGGGTTTGATTCCAGCTCCGGCTTTCCTGTGCGCGGTTTGCTTTGTTCTCCCCGTGCCTGCGTGCGTTTTCTCTGGGTACTCCAGTTTCCTCCCACATTCCAAAAACATGCATGGCAGGTTGATTGGACACTCTAAATTGTCCCGAGGTGTAATTGTGAGCACGAATGGTTGTTTGTCTCTGTGTGCCCTGCAATTGGCTGGCAACCGGTTCAGGGTGTCCCCCACCTACGGCCTGAAGACGGCTGGGATAGGTTCCGGCACACCCACGACCCTTGTGAGGATAAACAGATTAGAAAATGGATGGATGTTGCTGATGTTTCTCTTGGTTTTATAATCATACCATATGTTTTTCTGATGATGAAGATCACTTTTTTCATAGTTTGGCTTGTCCTGCAACTTGTAGTCAGGTGCACCGTGTAAATATTGAAGTTATAGCTTGGACTCACACCCAAAATCACCGTTTGCCAACCGCTGAAAGAAAGTGGAAGAAGAAATGGAAGGAGATGAAAAAAAAGAAGAAGATGAAAAAAAATGGTTTGGAATCCATCCAGACTTTGTTCGCTGCTGTCAACACAATTAGGGAATGGAGATTATGGGTGCAAGTCCCAGCTGTACTGTTCTTGGTCTCGATTTTGTAAAACGTAGATTTCCCTTGAAATATGTGTGGACTGGTTTGAGCCCCCCACCACCACCCCCCATCCTGTTCAGGGTAAGCAGTGTTTTAAACGGATGGATGGATGGATGTGTGTGTGTGTGTGTGTGTGTGTGTGTGTGTGTGTGTGTGTGTGTGTGTGTGTGTACACACATTATATATGTTTGGTCTGTTCTAACTTGCGGGCTTTACTTGCAGTGTCACATGAGCAATATATTGGCAGAGCCACTGGCGGATGCACCTTATTTTCAATTTTAAAATTTCTTTCAGTGTCTGATCAGCAATAAAATCTTTTTTATTCAGCCTCTCAGAGTCACCTGCTACTAAATGGCTCGTGAACTTCATCAAGGAACGAAAACTATTTCTCGTGATGCGCCTGTTATGAGATCACCTGCAAATTATACCTCCTTGATTTAATTATAGGCTTGACACCCTAAGTGGCAACCTCATAAAG